ACCCCTTTTGTCATGTCCCCTTTGTCTTCATTTCTTCTGAGTGTGTTCTGAGTGTGTCTTTCCTAACTGAAAAGCTCATAGCCTGTGAACGCAACACTGTGCAGCAACCTATGTCAGCTCGTAGATGCCAGAGTTTCCACATCACTTGAACGCACCCTTCAAAGAGATACACTTTTGAAATGCATTCCCAACTGTTTGGTAAGATTCACCCTAAAGAAAACAAATGATTACTCTATGTGAAAAGTGACAGATCACCTCAAGCAGTATTGAAAGTCTTTAAAGTTACAATAGACTTGTTTTCTTTATGCCTTAACGTATCATTATAAAATAAATAGCACAATGTAATGTTATAAAATAATGACCCCAATGGCTTTTAGCTTGGTTCCTTGAGTATTGCTTGCAATTCTGGTTTGCACTAAGTACTATTTTCCGGGCATATTAAGGCTAGATTAACGAAACAAAGGAAATGCGTCAACTATTGTCAAATCAGAACAGGAAGTGATCTCCATAGGAGCAACATGGATGTAGGTAGCTATTGGGAACAATGCCCAGTTACCAAAGCATATCAGTGGAAGATATCTGGATTGACTATGTCCATCAGATGCTATAAGAGATGGAGAACAATTATTGTGGAAAGCAAAATGCAGTGTTCTGTGTTGTTAGTAGTTATTAGGCCCTGAGTGACACAGAAGATGCAATGTATCCTATACTAATACCAATTGGAAAAATGAGGTGGAGTTCAAATATTAACAGTGAGATTAGGTTTTTTTTCAAGTATTTTTGGTGGTTTAAAACATAGAATGCAATTTGCTTTGTTAAAATGGGTTAAACGATAGAAAAAAAGGAAGTGTAGTAATTAAAGTGTTGTTATCCCTGTGCAGGAGACACATACGAGTGCAGATAGACTCTGTCTAGTCATCAATACATCCAAACAAGGATGATGTCCAAATGGGAATTACTTACACTAAAGTTGTATTTATAAGTGCTGCTGCCTAATAACATCAGTACTATCCTCCTCCTCCTCCTCCCCTCCTCCCCTCCTCCCTTGCCCCCTTCCCCCTCCTTTCCTCCCCCTCCTTCTCCTTGTGTTTTCTTGCTGCTCCACTGTCTCTGCATTCACACTGCTAACCCTGTGGCTTGCAGCAAAAACACCCACATATTGTTTGTTACGCAAGAAGGGAAAGGAGGAGTGCTTAGCAGCATCAATAGCTGCAGCAGATTAGTGGCAGGGCAGTTTGCAGAGAAGACAGTCCAGTGAAATTACAATGTTTTTGAAGTGACTCAATCTCGGTGGAGTTTCCTCAATGTTGATCCCAGAAGCACAATATTATCAAAGTCTGAGTGAAATGAACAACAGATCCAGGATACACACCTACCCGGACCTCTATCCCTCTCTCTCTGTCTCTCTCACACACACTGACACATGCACAGTATCAGAGCGGTTCAGTTGTCAATAGCAATTCAGATTCTTTCTCTTTAATATGCAGAACACGTACACAGACGCGTTTGCATGGGGATGAGGGACCCCCCACTCGCACACAAAGACAAACACAAACACATACAAATACGCACAGACACTTGCTGTTCCTTTTTATCAATCAAAAATAAAAAACAACTTGTGTACATTCAAAAGGAATATCACAAGAAGTCCTCACATAATACCTCACAAAATGTATGTTAGCCAACATGTACTTTTTATAAGAACGTAAGTTTAGTTATAATATGTGACTGTATATAATTTTACTAAAAAGGCATATTATTTCATATTTAAAAACATGACTAAGTACCAGTACCTTTCCATTGGATAAAATGGGATTCAGTGCCCTCTTGAGTGACCTTTCAATGGAGAAAACATGATGCATGGTCCACTGGGGTGCCCTTACAGTGGAGAAAATGCATTAAATTGCCCTTATGAGTGCCCTTCCAGTGCATAGCTCACTAGGTGTTCATTTTAAGTGGAGAAAATGTAAAGCATTGCCCTAAGGGTGACCTTTCAGAAAACATATTGGAATGCCCAGGTGCCCCATCCAGTGGAGAAAACGTAATGCAGTGTGCTAATGGGTGCTCCTAATATGGAGACAATGTAATCTCTGCTCTCTAGGGTTCCCTATATGCTACACACTTTCTTTGTGTTGTGTAACCTCTGGTGCATGCTGATGCCTTTTATATATTATTTTTTTGGGCCCTCTCAGTAGCGTAAATGTTTCTTATATAAATGTACACTTCACATTGTTTAAAGGTGAACTATCATGCAAAATACACTTTTGTACGTCTTTTATACATGAATATGTGTCCCCGGTGTTCCAGGGAACTCACCAAGTGTCAGAAAACACAACCCTCTCTATTTTCCTCCATACTCAAATCTCTTAAAAAGGGGCTGCAACGGATCTGATACAGACTGATCCAGATTTGAACGCTTCTATGACGTCACAGAAGTTGCGCTACGGCTATTGGGCCAACTCCACCAATCAGGAGGAAACAGCCACGGACATTGCCTGTTGAAAGCGCTGGAGACGCTGTAGTACATATGCCAGGCCTGTAGATGGTGCTGTTCTCACAGAATCAGCCCATGCAAAGACAGTGTTAAATTGAGAGAAATGAGGAATGGCTAAAATGCATGATCTGTTTGGTATTTTGAAAAATAAAAAGTATAAATATATAGGTATGGTCCTACACTATATTATTCAAATATAGCATGATACGTCCACTTTAAATGGGGATAAAACGTATGTGTCCATTTGAGACTTTCTTCTTCTGGTAAGATTTTCTTTGTGGTAATTAAATCTGTTGTTATTTCCCGATGCTTCTTTAATCCGTATTAGACCAAATGTGTTATCACCTGGTTATGTAAAACATGTTCTGATGTTGGCAGAGTATTGGCGCCCCCATGTGGGACGATGCCTGTTGTCACATTTTGACTCCACTCTATATCATGTAATCAGCAGATACAGCAGAAAACTATGATATTAAGAGCAGAGTTTGGCCTAACTGATGACAAGTAATGCCTGTTAATGAAATTTCAATGTTATACAGCATGTCCAGTTTTTGTTGTTGTTGTGAATAGAAATCTCAACTTCAACAAAGTATAGCTGAGTGGGGTTTGCTCCAGTCACCTCAACTACCTTGAATAAATGAGCCAACGAAGAGATATTACATTTGTAAATGCACAAAGTATTGAATGTAAAATTAATGCTTGGCTTGAAAAAAATTGTTAGGACAAAAAAGACGAGTCACTAAACTCTGTTAGGTAGGTTCACATCAACAGCTGACCTCTTACCATCCACCTCTTTTTTTATGTAAGAGACCTTTTTAGATAAGGGTCCCCCTTATATTAAAAGTCGAATTTTTAGATAAGGTTCCCCCCTTGTGTCCGGAACTACTTTTTAGATAAAGGACTATATAAAAAGTTTAATTTAAAAAACGGTCAGCCCTTATGACCGGAAGTAAACTTTTGGATAAAAGTCCCCCATTAAATAAAAGTTGAATTTTTCGATAAGGGTCCCCCGTTATATAAGAAACGATTTTTTTAGATAAGTGTCGCCCCTTATATAAAAAGTTAACTTTTTGGATAAGGGTCCCCCCTTATGTCCAGAACAGACTTATTAGATAAAGGACCCTCCTTATGTCCGGAACAAACTGTTTAGATAACGGTCCACCCTTATATAAAAAAAATACTTTTTAAATTATTATTATTATTTTTGTCCAGAACTAGTATTTTAGATAAGGGATGGGTTTTAATTTAATTGCCTTTTCTATAGTGTGATGCGCTGAAAATGACGTTTTGAAAATATTGCGCAGCCTCTAGTGTCAAGTGGCACTAGAGAACCCACACTTAAAAACAAATGTTTGCTGTTTATCATGTGTAGTCTACACATTATAATGTTAATGTACATTTTATAATGTTTGTCATATAGGGCAGACTTCCTGTTAGCAGCAAGTGGTGCTGGGACTATATGACTCATCTTTGACCTGTAAAAAGTCTACCTGTGAAATTGAGCCACCTTGCCACACAGAACTCAGTTAACTACTTTCATCACTGTTAACATGTGTGTCAAGTTGTGTGTGTCTACATGCATCATTAAGCCAGAAACAAGTACTTTACTCTTAAAAGTTATCATAGTTTTGGAAACATCTGAATAATCTGGGAGGAGATTTGTAGGTGAAAAGCAGTTGCTAATTTTTAGGGGGTACATTTGCTTGCAGAATAATATCAAAATATCACATTTTTCACCAGTCCTGACAAGTGTTCAAAAAACCTCAAGGATTTAAGCATGCTAAGGCCATCAGCATCGAGCAATTTTAAAAAGTCCTTTACTCCGATTCCGTCCGTGCTCGGGTGCTCAAATATTTATCCAAGCAATTTCAATATGTCCTTCGCTCTGACTCTGTCTGTGCTAATGATTCTGTGATTATCCTAGAAAAAGGCTCTTACTACAATGAAATGCCTGTGTTGGCTAACATCCTCCAACATACATTCAAGTGGGCCCATTTGATCCACACAAGTGATGGCTTTCCATTTACACCGAACTTATGCATTTCAGAGATGGTATAGGAAACCCTTTATGCAGAAACCATCTTTAGATAAGCCCTAAATAACACATGTATACTCAATGCATGGTTTTTGCCCCAGACTGTATGGAATTGGCATAAAGTGGGCATGTCAGTAAAGGAAAGACCTGTGGATACTAAACAACCAATTTTCCTTCAGATGAGAAGTCAAAATAGGACTATGGCAATGCTATTTTTTCCTTCTGAAAAGCTATTTAGCCTCCTTCCCAACAAGCTTTCTTCAACCATCACAGCATACTATTCACAATGAGTACAATACTTATGTGGTTTCTAATCTTGTCATATAACTATTTTCCATAATAATCTGAATAAAAAAATACCATAGAAAATATTTCTGACAGCATAATGCATTGTAAGCATGGAAGGTAATGTAGCATGTTAATAAAAAAAGGAAAAGGCAGCAACACACAATTCAAACATACTGACGAATAGATTTATTTACAACAGACTGTATATACTTCATTAATTTGTATTGGTATAGCTATTTTTGCTTTAGAAGCTACGTGAATGAATAAAATGCATTTCACTTCAAAATCACTAAAAAGCAGCGAATAGCCTGAGCCCACAAACAGTATTTACTGAAAGGTTCATGAATTCACAGTTGCTGTTACTATTCACGTCTGAGACTTCTCACAAAATGCAACCCTATACCTCTACATTGTATTTATTTTATATTGCAAGTGAGACACATTTAATTTTCCTACATGGCTATGTGTAATCTGATTTTTTAGTAAAAACAAATTCAAATGACAATATTTTTACAGGAGTGATATTTAGTAAAATTACATGACAGCCATTAGGCCGTTCCATAACCACAAGATGGCGCCACGAGCCTAATAATAAGAAGTGATTTGCTCCCAAATGTGTGTAAAAGCACTCACTTGTATGTACAAACAAGCACATGACCCACGAAGAGAGGATGAGAGACAGCAAAAGAACAGGCAAGAATAACTGATAGGTATAAAAGATAAATATTAAATCAAGCTTTTCTTTTTAGTAATGCTCTTTACATTGTTAATTTGGAAAAACGCTTTCCAACAGTGAGTTAGCGAAATTAGAAAATCATAAAAGATCATTAAGATCTAATTATTATCGTTTAGACAACGCGTAAAAGTTCAAAACCACTCTGCTACTGGAAACAAGTCCTGATTTTACTGTAGAACTAATATGTTTTTTTTATTTACATGTTTTTAAACGTCTTTCTTACGCAAAACCATTGTCTCAGCAGCATTTACATGGCTACAATTATATATTCACGCGTCTAAATGTAGCATGTTGCTGAGACAATCCAAATCAATCCAATATTTGCAAATTACCAAAACCTTTGTCACCTCTCTTCGTTCCTTGTTGTATTACCGGCCGTGTTTATACTTCTCCAGGTTGTCTAAAAGATTCATTAGTAGTCAGTTGTAATGGTTATTGATGTTGGTCAGGCTGTTGATGTTGTTGACGCAGCTGATGTGGGACGGAGACACGGTGCCAAAGGGCCCCGGAGGCTGGAGGTTGTGGCTGTGGTACAGAGCCGAAGGGGGGGATCCGGCCCAGTAGGAGAAACCTGAGGGGCCCACGCCGGGACCCACGAGGTTCAGTTTGGAGATCCCGGCGAAGGGAATCGGGGAGAAGTTCCCCTGAAACTTGTAGATGGCCTGCTCCGTGGTGGACGGCTGGCACACCTGCGCCAAGCCGTGGAAATCGAACTTGTAGGCGTAGCGCTTTCCGTGCACTTTGGTCATGATGTTCTTGTCGTAGTAGTAGCGCAGCGCCCGGCTCAGCTTGTCGTAGTTCATGTTGGGTTTGCTCTTGCGCTCCCCCCAGCGCCTGGCCACCTCGTCCGGGTCGATGAGCTTGAACTCTCCGTTGGTGCCCTCCCAGGCGATGTACGCCATGTTGGTGCTGTCCGAGAGGAGCTCCAACAGGAACTGCCACAACTGGATCTGCCCGCTGCCTGGACAGGAGAGGGGAAAATATAACCGTATAACTGTATAAAAATACAGACATCTTTTGTGTAAATACATGAAATAATGCATATTGTTGAGGCATTTAACATTTGACCTTTTATCAAATAATATATTGTCATGTATCAGTAGTCCTATCTCAAAATTCGGCAGCACGTCTTCGTAGATAATCCACTGATTTTGAAGGCAAATTGCAGAATATTAGAAATTAGTTTGAAAATATGTACGCATTGGATTAAAACTGTATCAAACTGTTATGTTGTTCATTCATTCAAATAAACTGCTTCAAAACAACCTCTGCAGGCACATTGTTTTCCTTATAGGCTAGTTCATAAGCTATTTAAATGGTGTCTTTCAGGTCATTTTGAACATGGTATTATTTAATTGAATAATTCCTAATTTCAAATATAATGTAGGATAAATGATAATCTATCGTATTTTTATTTTCGATTTAAAAATATAACTATCTGCTTTATTTCGACATTTGCAGCTTTGAGAGGTCATAATGCCCGTTTAGATCTATTGGCACTACATGACAGTGTAATTAAATCAATGACAATCTGTGTACAGTCGAATTTTGCTGTATGTTGTTTTTTTAATTTAATTTCAAGCTTCTTCTTCTTCTTTATTTAAATATATAATTCAGATTTTAGTCTGAATATGGAAGTGTACGTTTATAAACTAGGTAATCTACAAGTCCTGTTATGGAGTAACAGGAATTTCTTCATTAAATAAAAATTCTACATTATCCGTGACCAAAAAACATAATGCAGCTGCAATTTGAAAGCAGGAAGAAAAAATCTGTGTTTGGATCGATAACTTACCAATTAGATCTATAATATAATGAAAAAATACACTAGCCTTTAACACCGTTTTCATGCTGATAAGTAAAATAATAAAATAAAATGTGTTTTCTTTCTCTATAGTTTTATATATTTTTTAAAAAGTCAGTTAAAAACTAAAGCCAGAAAATACACGGTGGCCTTTGAATCTCCATAACTACCCAACAACTTTAAGTATTTAATTTCCATATATTAATATTCTTTAAGTATTTTGGGAATTTCAAGCTTGTTGATATTAAATCACTGCACCCGTGTGTCCCGGCAGGCCGTTCAGTCCATTCTCTTACCTTTCTGTACTCCTGTGTTTATTGGACCCCAGGATGCTCCTTTGCTTTCCTTCAACAGATTTTCTGTTGGATCTGTAATAAAAAAAGACAGACTAATTGTAAGCATCACAAACTCTCTATCATCTATTTATCTATTTCATATATTCTATAAATAATCAATTTCAAGAAACCATTAAGGATACCCTCATATTCTAATCTTGCTTTGGTTGGTTTGAAACTTAGCTGGTAGGTCCAGGTTTTTCAAAAATTGAATTGGATATCTTTATCCAAGCAACAATTTAGGACGAGAAAAATAAGGTGATTAAAAAAATAATAATAAATGTGTGTATTTTCATCTATTTTAATTAAAAGAATATCCGTTGTAAGATTGCGTAAAGAGCCTGTAAAATGTGATCAGACCGGTGCGTAAAATTCAAACTGATTTGAAATGTTAAAAAAGGCCAAATCTCTCCAGAAGGTAACATTGATTAAAATCCTAATAGTGTCCTGGTCCGTTCGCATGCCTAATGGAAGAAGCTTGTCTTCTTCGAGGTCTCCTCTCCGAGAAGCCAGGAAACGCGTCCAGGAAAAAGGATTTCCGATTTCCGACAAAAGAGCAGACGGGCTTTCAGATTGAAAAGGCTGAACAATGCTCTGCCCTGGAGACGGAACACACCGCCTCTGGACACCGACACCCGGCAGAATTTAAAGAATCATAACCGCTTATTTCTATAATTCTTCCTTGGACTTAAAAGACGAACCTGAGAGATACATGTTGAACATGAGGTTTCCTCCGCAGTCCGGTCTCATTGTGTTCTGTTGTTCAGAATGGGTTGGATTTCATTTCGTTGGTGGCGGTGGAAAAGATTTTTATTAAACTTTATCTCATAACTGAGATCTGGAATAAATGCGGGTGGACAGATTGAAGTTTCCAGGCAACTGTCAGTGGCCCCCATCTCTGAGACAATATTCAGACAGCAATTTCCCCTGGTGCATTGCTTTAATTAAAAGAGCAATTTACCTCTGTCAGCCCGCCTGGTGCCCACAATAAAAAGAGGCCGATAGAAATTGGGCCCTTATCAATCCACCATCACAGTTTAATAAAGTTTCCGCGTTAAGATCTGAGTTTCTATGGTGAATTGGAGTGTTTGACATGGAAACCAGTTCAGATCCTCCTCACTTTTCCGCCTCTTTACCTCTTGGCAAACAACAAAGACCTATTTCATGTTGGGGAAAGAATATTTACCTTGAAAAGCACGCTCTGGTGCACACGAGAAAGCAAGAACATTCATCCCCCCCTGACCTTCTGTTTGTGGGTTTAAGGTTATACAGCCTCAATTGGAGGGTAATGAGGTTGTAACTTTAAAACCATGGCTTCTGGTGCTCACTGACGTTATCATTTACGCTCATATTTTTCCAATTGTTGTGTTTTTCAGAGGCAGTGGACTGTGTGAAGCTTTATGGGCTTTGATGCCCTGCCCTATTCTCCCTTGAACTGTAGAAAAATAATGAACAGTGGCCAATGTCTTGTGTAGACCCTTTGAAATTATTAGTTAAATAATCAAAACTGTGTTTAAACCCCAATATAAAGATAGATACATCTCAATAAATCAACCAAACATTGACATTAAGGTAAGATATCATGAAGCTATTGAAACCCAGTGAATACATGCAATTTGAATCATTTGTATGCATAAATGTCACATACAAGTTCAACACACAATAGTTAATAGTGATAAATCCAGACTATTTTGTATGTCCGAAGCATTTGTTAGGCATTTCAAAGCAATACATACATGTAAAGAGGAAATTGATGTAATTTATGAGGGTGGCAAAAACCCTGGCATGATTAACGTCCGTTCATCAATGAAACAGGTGGAAGATAGTATTCAAAGATTGGTCATATCGGAACATCCTTGATTTGATTCTGCAATATTTCTTTGTGTATTATATCTCTTTCTATTCAGATATTCAGGAAAAAATGCCACGGAATAATTTAGAAACATCAAGAAATGAAAATATTTCAAACAAGCTGACGTTGACACATGTGCATCTCTGGGATCTACTGTGATTTTGCATTTAGTTTGCCTTGTCATAAATGTAATACACTATGTGTCATGAAATGAAGAGAAAAACCTATACATTAATCTAAAATCAAACTCACCTGCATTCGTGGAAAGGATTGTCAAAGCTTTTTTTTGGAAACAGTGGTTTAAAAAGGTAAAATATGTCCAATTAAAACATTTTAAATGAAAAACACTATAAACAATACATTTCTTTATTTCAAACTACAAATATTACATTGAAATTAAAGTCACATTACATGTATCCAACAGAACATCTTTACTCTATCCTTTAACTCAAAAGCATGTTTGGCCTCTATTGACTGAACTAAAAGTAAACCGTCTGCTAATCATTCATAATCTATTTTAGTGTTTGCTCTACAAAGTCACCCAACTGAGCTCACAAAGGTACAAATGCAAACAAACTCAGCATAGGAAAAAGGGTATACTGTAGGCTATATATTTCAATGTTTTATTTATCTGCATTTTATAGCACGCAAGTTTAAGTCTGTGTTTACATTACCAATCGTTGTAACAGTAAAATTGCATCAAACTATAAAGGCCTTTAATTTACTAAATATTGCAGTAAAAAATTAGCTCAAATATTTTCCTTTCAGACAAAGAAGAGCAAATTGTGTTCAAATTGACAAATAGGATATTTGCATTGCCTTCCTTCCTGGACTTTGAGGTAGATTTCATTCTTCACATGTCAGCAGTTCCTCGGGGCTGGGCTCTGTAGGTGTGTCTCTGCATCCCAGACTTGCTTTAGCTGCCTGTGTCCAAATAAGAGTCGCAGGCAACTGAAAACAAGCCTCGAAAGCTGGACTGTATCCACTGATGCAGTGGGTAAAGATACTGTAGGTGGGTCAGTGATCAGCACGAGGCTAGAAATCCCCTAATGGAAAGAAAAAACAATTGCATAATAACATCAGAATAGCCTTCACATGTTCTGTTTATTCATTTATTGATTATTTTTAACAGATTCAATTGTTGCTACATCTGGGGTAAATAGTATGTCAAACCTTAAGAGTGCATAATTCCCGTTTACCAACATAAATCATTATAAAAGGGTTAGATTTTTAATCGATTAGAATAGTTGCCCAAAATGTGAACCATACAGCAGCCCCTGTAGTCATTTTGTGACAAATAAGGAACAAAAACTGAATGACATAATTTAATCTGATGAACACATTGTCCAATAGAAACAACATATGTAATTAATTTCAGTTAAACAAATCAATCAATATCATTAAAGCATAGCATAAATAAAAAATGTTCCTCTGTAAAGCCTTGAACTTACCTTGCTGCTGTGAACTGTGTTGCATCTTACTACAGTGCTCAAGTGTCACTCCTCTTTAAACCACAGTGCAAGCTGCTTTAATCTGTCTGCAGAGGTATGTATATTTGAGAAAGGTGTGTATGCATGGTTACACATTTATTAAAAGATCCTGTTTTTTGGGTGTGGAACAGTTAGCCAGTGCAGGCTTGTGGGCGTGTAACACGGAATCCCACGTCCTGGACCAACAGGAGGACTGTGCGTGGAGGTAAACACACTCCAGGATCCCGGCGTGTGACTGTAAGGTAAACATGATGGTGCCACATTGCAATGAACAAGGAAATGCTGAGCTACAATACTTTTAAGAGAGTAGTTGTGTGAAATTCGGGGAGGGGAAATTAATGAATCATCCAAATATATTAAGTTAATCATAGTTCATGTCAGAAATGTTATCTATCTTTATGATCACTTCTGGTGTATTCTGTGGTAAAAACTGGAGGACTTTTTTCTAATATTGGGTTTCAGTAGTTGCAGCTTGAAAATTATTATCTGACCGACTGAATATCTATCACCAGCTTGGTTATTTGTAAATATATAATAGGCTAAGGGGAATCCATAAGGAATAGGGTTAATGGTATTTGCTTAAATTGAACTAATCGATGTACTACGGAAAAGTTCCAATGTTTTGAAATGTAAAGGTCCAGTATGACACTACAAAATCAACTAACTGAATACCCCTCCACTAACCCCTCCCTTTCCGAACATTTCCGGAGGATCCCTGAAGGGGATTATGTCAGTTAAAAACATTTATAAAATGGACAAGTCAAATCAAGCAATCTGATTGGTTCTTAGCCGTGATATACTGAGCGTATACCACGGGTAGAATTGTAAGTTACTTTTCACAACAAGTCAGTATCCCTCCGCGTCTGAGAAAAACAGTATACCGTTGGGTTGAAAAGCAAACTGCCGGCTGATTGCTTTTCATACTGGAACAAGAAAGCAGCGGAGAAGTAACGGGGCAGAAGCCCTCCTTTTGGACGCAGCGGTCCAGACATAGACATCAAACGGCAAAACATATTCAGTGTGCAGTTCCTTTGGCATTAGGGCAGGGATATCTAGATACTTTTGAAGGTTTAACATAATTAATTGTGCTACTTTTAAAGCAAGCAACGATGTTTTCAAATCTGTAATCAAAGAGGTCCGCAAAAACGCTATCGACCAATCAGATTGCTTGATTTGACTTGTCAGTTTTATAAATATATTTAAATTTCTTCCGTTAGGAAACAAACTTACAAAGCATAAAATGGAAACATTTAAAATTAATTTCGACCTCCGGGGGGGTCTTACTATAGTATGGAGGAGTGGATTGAGCAGTGCCTATCTACCAGAAAAAAAAAGACACCTAAACTACGACATGCAGAGCTACGTGAAGAGTAGGTAGACCAACTGGAAAAGTAGCACCATTCAAAAGCTTTCTGATGCGGGTCTTGAAACAAAGCAGATAAATTATGACCGTTAGTGGCCACAGGTGCGAAAGCTCTCTCCAGAGCTACTGGAAGCCCAATCTCGGGGACCGGAGAAAGTGGAGCAATATTCTCGCCACGCCAAGCAACAGCTTCGAACAACCTCAACCTATACAAGTGACCACGTAAGCCATGCTACTGATGCTGGACAGTTTTTCAGTGGATGCACAATAAACAGCAACATACACATTAATGTAAATAAACAGCCAAAGAATGGATCAACGCTCTCTGTCTAATATGTTCGCTTGCTGTTAGTGTTGTTGCGTAGCAACCACCTTGCACTATGTTTTGTGAGGAAGGCAACGGAGGGACTATTTTATTTTGAACATCATTATTTACTAATAAAAACTATTTAAATTAGAGTGTGTATTTTTCTTTCATATTGCCACACTTGGTAACCGTTTTATAAAAGCAATAGCTCACTTCAGGCCGTGATATATGCTCATTATATCACAGCTAAGGGGGTTGTCGACCCTCCGCTTCGCGTCGGGCCGAACCACGCCCCTTAGCTGTGATATAATGAGCATACCACGGCCTGTCGTGAGCTATTGCTTAAATATACAGTCTATGGTTAAAAACCAGCAGGCAACCTCCATGTCTTAAAAGTGAAGCCATTGCAGGAGTGCTTTAAACCTGCATTATTTCAAATGGCAAGCAGGGGACAAATCCACTGGTTGAAAAAAGATGTCCGGTTGTATAGAAGTCTATGAGTCAATTACCCTACTTTTTACTTAATTTATTACCTTTTATTAGTAATATTTTTCCTTGTGAGTTTATTGTCTCAATCGCTATGGTTACACGTACAGTTGTTCATCTGTGAGGTGTTTAGTTTGTTTATATCTGAGATCAGTTTATAAACAACTATAGGCCTCGCAATATTAACTGAATCCTTACTGAACAACTTGTTGGCCCTAAATACCTGTTTTGATATCTTACATCTTGCATTTG